AAAAAAAAAAAAAAAAAACTATATACAAAAATCTCACACAAAATCTCACATCCAGACTTAAGATTTTTCATCTAAACTTGAAAATCTTAAAAAGTTTCAAAAAAATGTCACTTGAAATCCTAAACGAATACACCACTTAATTTAAAAAATCTTTAGTTTTCTTCATTTAATCAAGACTAGACTTCGTACCACTCCATTGAGGGCTTGCAACGCGCTTTCCATTTCATCTCTTGTTCGGTAGCTTACGAAGCCATAGCCACGTGACTTTCCCGTCTCGCCATCATACAGAACCCTGGCTCCGACCACGTCACCATGTTCTTGAAAAGCTTGTGTTAGAATCTCAGAAGTGACGGTCCATGCTAGGTTCCCAACAAATAGTTTGTGCTCAGTTTCCGGATATAATGGCACCTTCGGTCTAGGCTTGTCCGAGAAATTAACTCTCATTGTTCGACCACCAAATTCCTGCATTTAAACAAAGCCCATTTTCTTTTACATTTAATGAAAAATGCACTCAACATTGAACAATATTCTTTATTTCATACCTTTCCATCAAGATTTTGGATGACCGTATTGCACTCCTCGATGCTACTCATTGTCACAAACGCGAACCCTCTGCTTTTTCCGGTTTCTCTATCGTAAAGAACCTACATATATATTGTCACAAAGTGAGCATGGATACATGCATTAAGGGTAACAAAAGGTTTCACTTTGTCTTAAAATTTGGAACATAGAAGTTCAACACTTCACAATGAGGGGTTTGATGTTGAGAAAAATGTTAGCAATAAATTAGATAGTAAATAGAAGTTCAAGACTTCAATGAGGAAAAGAGGTTTATATTCTTGTGTAGTAAGTAGCTTTGAGTAACTTAATTTTAACAATAATGCACAATTGAATGCTTCACATACACTTTTACTATAAGAGATGTAAAACTTGAACAAAAATAATTTGCATGAATCAACAAATTCAAATCAAGTTCTCATCCAAAATACGTATTTCTCTACAATCCGAAACATTTATGTGAGGCAACCTAACGATTAGACATATCGATCAGTTATGCGCATACTTACACTATCAATGTCGACTGATTGTAAGCGGACTTAACAAACAACCTACCGATTTCAAGAATTCACACACAATAAACAAATTATAATTTATTTACTTCTTTTTTGGGTCAACTTAAAAAAAAAATAAAAAAAAAAACAATAAATTACCTCAACTAGCTCTGGGCTAGCATAAGCATACTCTTGGATTATACCAGCAAGCTGCGAACTATCACAAAGGTACGGCAAATTCCCAAAGTAAAGCTTTGTTGTACTTTCACCGCCACTCTCCGGAAGCTCCTCAGCCGCCTCTTCCTCCGCCGGCTGCTCAGTCAGAGCCGCCGCCTCCGCCTCCGCCGCCGCCTCTTCTTGGGCCACGGCCGCCGTTAGGCGCAGAATCCTCCACTTGGTGCTGCTAGTGGTAGTGGGGCTCAGTTTCTGGTGAGAAAGTGATACAAATTGTAGTGATTTGGTACATGAAAATCTCAACATACGATCATTAGGCCGATTCCTGGAGCCTAAGCATTTGGAGGTGTTGTGTGTGTAGAAAGAAGAGGATATTGCAGTGGCTGCCATTTTTTCTTGGCAGGGGAACAAGTGATCTGTGCAGTTTTCTTCCTTTTTGGATTTGTAAAGTTCTGTTTTTTTCTGTTTTTTAGGTGATAAGAAGGGAGAAGGTGCAATGCTGATGTGGAGAGACTGTGTCCAATGGGATGAGAAAGTGATATTATGTGAGGATAAGGGATATTTGAGGGTTGTATTGTAGGCCTCACATATTTTTCAACAGTTATATTGAGACATGGCCATTGGGAACAAGCCGAATCGAGTTGTATTTGCGAACTCGGTTCGATTGTGCTCGGCACAACTTTTACTTCACAATAGTAGGTACCCTCATGAGGTGGTAATTACTCCATATAACAAATAAAGATATGAATATTGTTATCTTGTATCATCCAAACTGATAGCATACATTTAATTTATGTAGTGTCACAAGAATACAAGCCAATTATCAGTAATATCTGAATCACACACAAGAATTTTTCATCAAACACAATCCAACACACCATTTTTCTGGTCCCAAGTCTTCATTTTTATTCATTTTTTTTCTTGAAGATTGCATAGGCATCACTGTATATAGCCACCAGACTCGTGAAAATAGCGAGTCCTATCATGAAAACAGCCAAGACTCTGTCCTTTTTCGAGATTACGCAGTGAATATCCCTCAAAGCAATCGAGGCGGGAAAAATGAACCCAATACACACAGTTGAAGTCGAGCCCGTGAACTGAAATGCATCCCATATGCTCGGCACGAAATTCGCACACAAGAAAATAACACAAAGGAGCCCACAAGTGATCCAACCGAACCGAACATTGTTATCCGCCAGACAAGCAGCGTTCGGAAAAATCAAGCCATCCACATTCAACCGGAGGGAATAGAATATGACGGGAAAAACGAGCATGAGGTGAAGGGCATAGCTAATTCGAACTACATCGTTTAGCATGGAACCAAAAGGGATATCAAGATTCGTGTCAAAATTGGAAAGGACATCGTCTAGAGTCGAGTCTCCGAATAGAAGGAACCCGAAAAAGCTCGTCATTATGTAGGTGAACGAGCATAGGGCAAGTGAAGTTCGAACCACGGATCTTATGGTTGAAGGGTCTTGAAGCTCGGTTTCGATGTTGTGCACTGATTGAAAATTTAGAAACAGAGAGAATAAGTTTGTTTAAATTGCACAAAAAACACAGCATCTTATAGAATATATGGTGAAATTTCGATTTACCGTTAAAATGGCATACATATGCAGTCACGAGAACAGGGACGACCGTGAAAAGTGCCCAGACGGAGCTCATTTCAGTAACTAGCGGTAAAAATCTCGGCATTTTAATGGTTCCTTGCAGCAATTTGTACACACAAATGGCAGCAGTAATGAAAACAAACACAAATGCAAGAAAAACTGCCACTGCCGAGGAGTGTCGCAAAGAATCTGCAATAAAACCGAACGAAACGGGAAAACAAATCAAGAAACAAAAATCCATATGACCAAGAACAAGATTCAATACCAGCAAAACTATTGAGTTCTCCTATCTATTGAGACCAAAAAAATTATTAATTTGAATTCGTACCGATGCGTTTAAAAAACGCCAATGGAGTGAAGACGAAAAGGGTCGTCACGAGAAGAACGAAGAACCGTTTGTTCCACCATTGCTCCCCAAACCATCCCTCCAAAACTCCAGCATGATGAACCCCACTTGAAGATGATCCAGATAGCACATCACCTAAACCAATAATCTTAATATAAAAAGCTCTAAACTACAAAATTTCCCCTGAAAAGTCAGCTTAATCATATAACTAAATTAACCCAATCATCTCCCCATTTGTATGGAAGCAACAAATACTCACTTTCCTTTAGTGTCTGCAACTAATCATACAATCAATCAAGAAACACACATCAAAATAATCAAAAATCATACCAATAATGATCATGTACACCACAAGCACCCCAGCATTATTAGTCAAGATACAAACTTGCAGCAGTTTTTTGCCCACAACTCCAAACGAGTCCCCCATCACACCACCGTAAGTGACGGCCCGGCCCGCTTTACTGAACCGGAGCAAGAAGTCCAGAGAGACCTCCGTGAGGATGGCGACGAGCACTATGGCCGCGACTCCCGGCCCGAGCCCGAGCACCTTCATGGCCGCCGGCAACGCCATGATTCCGGCGCCGATTATGGTGGTCGACAGGTTGAGAACCGCACCTGTATAGGAAGCCCCATTAAATTCTTGGCGATTAAAGCTGTTATTGGCATTAATGGGTTCTGTTTCCTGGGGGAGTATTAGAGGTGCTTTGAGGGTCATGGCTCGAAACCCAGTGAATAAAAATCGAGTCTTTGGAAATGGGATGGGAAAAATATCTGTGTTTTGTAGCTTATAAAATCGGACCTGCTTTTCAAATGGCCAGTCACCATTCTTATCAAGAAAATGATGTTGATTGAAACTAAGAGAAAAAAAGAAATTGAATTCAATGGTGTGATAAGTTCACTAAATTGGCGTATGTGGCGAATGGGGCTCGCTTTCTTATCATTTGTGATAGTTTTGGCACAATTGTTTAGTAATAAATGGAAGTGTGGAAAAATGTGAGTTTGCTTGTGTTGTTTCATGATACTAGTACGTCACCCGCGCGTTGCGCGGCTTAATGTTAAAAATGACGAAGATGAAAATATTATTTATTATATTTTGAAATATTTTTTAAAATATAATATTAGTAGTGGATGAATTATATTCATTATCACCATTATTATCATAAATAACAATTATCAAACAACAGAGATTAGATTATTGATTGTGTGGAAACAACAACACATAATTGATTGTTAGATAGGAAATAACAATATATAAAATTAATGAATTCTTATATCAAAATTTAGATATTTGAGAAATGTCATCAATAATAAAATAGTTACTTTTATTATGTGGTAAACCATTAATATCTTTTATTATTAAAGTATATTACTTGTTATCCATATTAGATTATAATAATATCATAATATATTTATACATAAACTAATCTATACTGATAAATATATTATTTCTGAATTAAAAATTTATACAAATACTAACTTTATTTTTTGAATTATCAGCATAGAATTTAACAAATTTATTTTAAAGCCATTAACATCGGAGTGCAAGTCTCAATGCATAATTATGTATGAACTTAATTATTTACTTAAATATATGATTATACTCATTGTTTAATGATATATCATAGTTATAAATTGATAAAATTTATTTGTATATAATATATATATATATATATGTATATATATATATATATATATGTGTGTGTGTGTGTGTTTGGAGGTTTTTTTTACCTTTGTGTTACTTACCTTATATGTGTGTGTGTGCGCGTGCGCTAATATTATGACATATGCAGTGCACATTTTGCGACATTATTAAGAAAAATAAATTTTCTCATATCA